AAAAATTCTTGAATTCAGTTCCCATTTTCTTGCATAGATTCAAATTTTAATCACTTCTGGATAAAAATTATGCAAACTGAAAGAATTAAGATATTCTTTTCAAGAAAAGAATTGTAAGATGTCAAGTAAATTTTAAATTATATTTCCCTACCACGTACAGATTTTGCTGAAAAAGTTCATTTTGTGACAGTATAAATTGATGGAAGATGGATACAACTTAAGTAAACATCAGTAAATTGTTTTTTTTTCTCTCTTTTTTTTTTTAGAGCAGTGGAAAGTGATGGAATTTCTGTAACAGAGAATCAGGTCAGCCCAATAAAAGACTTTGAGTTGATTGTATGTGGTGCTCTAAGCACCAGTAGTTGCCCCCCGCCTCCATCCACAATGTGCTGTTGAGAGAAGACCTTCTGCTTAGAGTAGGTGGCGCTGTCTACTTGCATGTGAACGATACTGGGCAGGTATTAGCCAATAGTCAGCGTGGGTTTGGGACAGGGAGAGCTATAGTAGCCCCAGGAGTTGCGTCCCCATCCACAATGGGCTGTTGAGAGAAGACCTTCTGCTTAGAGTAGGTGGCACTGTCTACTTGCATGTGAACGATACTGGGCAGGTATTAGCCAATAGTCAGCGTGGGTTTGGGACAGGGAGAGCTATAGTAGCCCCAGGAGTTGCGTCCCCATCCACAATGTGCTGTTGAGAGAAGACCTTCTGCTTAGAGTAGGTGGCGCTGTCTACTTGCATGTGAACGATACTGGGCAGGTATTAGCCAATAGTCAGTGTGGGTTTGGGACAGGGAGAGCTATAGTAGCCCCAGGAGTTGCGTCCCCATCCACAATGGGCTGTTGAGAGAAGACCTTCTGCTTAGAGTAGGTGGCACTGTCTACTTGCATGTGAACGATACTGGGCAGGTATTAGCCAATAGTCAGCGTGGGTTTGGGACAGGGAGAGCTATAGTAGCCCCAGGAGTTGCGTCCCCATCCACAATGGGCTGTTGAGAGAAGACCTTCTGCTTAGAATAGGTGGCACTGTCTACTTGCATGTGAACGATACTGGGCAGGTATTAGCCAATAGTCAGCATGGGTTTGGGACAGGGAGAGCTATATAATGCCAGTGTTTTTCTCAGTCGAGAGAAGGAGCACTCTGAATGTGCAAAAACCAGACAAGACTAACACAATTTTAAAATTAAAACGTTTTCAATTAGTTTTTTTTTCCTTTATAATAAAAAATGTAGTCTGTATATTTTTGTAGACTTTGCAAATAGCTTCTATTTCCAATTTTCCAACTGACCCTTCACCCCCTTAAACTCAATGAAGATAGATTATGCAGTAATACTTAATCCAGATGGCATGTCTTAGATACCATAGATTAAAAAATAATTAACTACTGGATTTGTATTCTTAGATTGAAATAACATGTGAAGTGACTTTTAAGTGACCATTTTTAAAATAAGCTGATTTGCATATATTGTTGTTGTTTTTTTTTGGATACAAATGACCAGTGGTTGAACCCAGGGACAAGGGTTAAATACATTCAGTTCATTCTCAAATAAAACTTATATTCCCATTTGATCTTGTGTTGAACCCAATTAAGTTTGGTAAATACCTGCACATTATTTATTTTAGGATTATACAAAAAAAGTTTGAATTAATCAATTAAAATTTTACTCATGGTCATTTACAACATATGAAAAAAACCCAACAAATACTGATTGAATCTTACAAGTTTTATATATATATATATATATATATATATATATATATATATACACAGCACCACATCCATCCACAAATTCCTCCAAATTCTAAAAAGTACAAAACCAACCCAATATATCTTTGCATTACTTGACGTTGAAAATTTATTCACAAAACGTCCCTGTCGATCAAATCATTGACATTATCCTTAACTCCATGTACACAAATAATTCTATCCCACCTCCATCCATCAAAGCAAATATTCTCAAGAAATTATTGCATGGATGCACAACCAAAGTCCCCTTCTGCAACCATAATGACATCTGCATCCAAACTAATGATGTTAGTATGGGAAATCTGCTCAGCCTGTGCTTCTCTAATTACTACAATTCTTCCATAGAAAACATGATTTTTAAACAGGTCACGAAACCCAAACTATATGTTTGCTCTGTAGACAATATCTTTATTTTAATGAAAAACACACAAGTAATAGATAATCTCAAAAACACATTTGAAAAAAAAATCAGTTTCTAGGTAAAGTTAAAGTCAAAAAAATAAACTTCCATATTTAGACATTCTTGTAGAAAACTGTAACAACAGTAACCACCTCATTGTATAAAAAAATAACACTAGCAGAAACTCTTGCTACCTTAATTTTAAGAGTTAATCCCTACTCAGATACCAAATAGCAGTGATAAAAAAACTTCCTAAAGAGAGCTCAGGAGAATTCATCCTCTTGTCTCCTTCCCTTAAAGAACTCAACAATGCAAAACAGATACTAGTTAATAATAGTTTTCTTAACTTTTCTCATCGACCACTGGACTAGACTATTTCTTTCCAAAGTAAATGATAATGATACCGAATACACAGACAAAAACAATAACATAACATAAATATCTTCTACAAATGCACGTCAACTATAAGCAAGATGAAGCTTCACTTAGTGACCCAAACAAAAAGATTGAAGTAATTATCTATTACAAATAATTTAAAACAGCTAACCTTATCCTAAAAAATAACAACACACCTGCAAAATCAAAACTACAAAGAACCAACATTATTTATGAGTTCAAATGCACCTTAAGGAACTTTGTTCCTGATCAAATCACGCATAAATAATTACATCGATCACACTATTACATGCCTATCCAGATGACTTACTACACCTATCCGACCAGAGCTCCATTAGAACTCATTTAAACACACACATAAATCATACTAGTAGAAAATACAAGCATAATAACCTCATTCACATGTAAAAAAAAGAAAAAAGATTAAAAGTTTTAATAAAACTAATGGAAGCTTTAATAATAAAAAAAAGAAAAAGCCAACACTCAATAAAATTAACTACGCACACGGCTATAATGTGCTGACCATGTTTGGAAAATAAAATATCCCTATAACTCTAGAAACATACACAAAACACCCATACAATCAATTAAACAGTAAAAATAAAATCATCCTTGATAATGGCTAAAAAAAAAAAAAAATAGCCGAAAGCGCTATGATATGCAGAACGTTTGGACAGTTTAAAACACTGTTGTGTCGAGAAAAGAAAACACTTGTACAAACACAAGAAAAATTAAATAAAAACCTTAATCACAGTAACTTGTCAGTTGTCTTTAACGAAACATGTATAAAAGAGCGATTGCTGCCTAAATACATAATTTCATAGATTCAAATGTAAAATTTCTGCATTGTATACGTATCTAAAATACTAGAACTAGAAGGTTGAAAAATTTCGAGTTTAGAAGACAATCAAGGGAAGTAAATCAATAATACTTTGTTATAAAATGAAAGTAACCTCCCTTAGATAAATTTAAAAAATTAAACATTTTAATATAGAAATGGCCTTGTAATCAAATTAATAAACTTGGTAAAATATCTGAGGTAGTCCTATTACTTTTTTCATTATTTTAACAACCATATTGAATTCCAGTTTAAAAAAAAAGAAAAAGCAATAACTAAATACTTAATATTTAGAACGCATATATATTAGTTAGTCAACATCCTAAAATACAAATGTCATTAAAGCAAAACAGCATAACTTAAAAAGCCTCATCTGCATATAAAAATTTCATTAAGTCATTAGGAAATTAGAAAGATACGAATATTATATTTGACATGATGATAAAAAAAAACCTTTGTTTAAAAGAAATTGGAAATGGTAAATGTTTAAACAAAAATAAAATCAATTTTATATGTGAAAATTTTGAAAATAAGTTGCCAGTTGTGCCAGCAAACTCGTTCAGAAAAAAAAAAAAAAAAAAAAGCAAAAACACAAAAAATCCAAAAACATTAGTGGGTCAAAACAGAGTTTCACATCTCACAAGTGTAACAAATTACTTTTCTATTTCAAAACAAAATTTCATTCAAGTCGACAACTTGCAGTGTCTTCTGCATTCAGATGTACATTTTGAAAAATTTAATTTCCCAACAAAATCTAAGTATACATATAAAATATTTAGGGTCACTAATAACAATGAATTTGAAATCATTTTTTAGAAATATTTATTACGGAATCAGAATGATCATCACTTTTATTAAAAACTATTTTTTAGTCAAGTTTAATCAGTAAATGTTTTCATTTCTACCTACCTACAATAGATGCGTAATGTTTCCTTAGCTTATCCAGAAAGTCACTTAATGCTGTTTCAAGGAGTCTTACTACTCATGGATCCAGTAATGATTTTATTGGATGGTAAAGCAATCAATAAATCCCAAAACAAAGCATTTTGCAAAGTTGACATTTTTGACACAATCAGTAGTCATAGATAACTGATTTTTTCAACATACAGAACAAAATGCAAATTTTTATTTTGTGTTTGATAACAAAATTACAAAAATATATCATAAAATTTTTGTGGGTCATGCAAAGGTTCATTGTTAATAGAGTGAGTGGCAGGAATAAACAAAAAAGAAATATCCACACATCATATTTTATTTCATTAAAAAAAAAAAAGAAAGAAAAGAAAAAGAATCCCAGCATTTTCAAAAAAAACTTCCAAAGAGACAATGGAAAGTCACTCATATTTTGATCACAAGCTTGTGAAAGAAAAACAACAAAAAAGCCAAAAATGCAGGCATCAAAATGGAGGAGGAGGAGGAGGTGGTAGGGAGAGGGGGGGGGGTGTCAAATGTATTTTATCAGTTCATTTTTGGTATTTCCTTATAAGGATGTGCTATTCTGAAACATTTCCTGTAAGAGGAAAAGAAGTGTAAGAGAGGCTGTGTTGATGTTTGAGGCTACAATCTAATCTGAAGGGTCAAATCAATGTCTTAGAGAAGTTCCAAACATCATCCCACCATTCATCAAGTGTTAACAGGATGAGTGGAACACATTCCAGCTGTTAGCAATGGGAGGTCATGTGAGACAGGCAGACAGAGATTGAGAGAGATAGTAACAGAGACAGAGACAGAGACCAATACAAGGTGGATGGGCAGTGAATCAGAGAAAGAGAGTGATAAGTAGGGGGAGATGGGGAGAGAGAGTGTGGAATATAGGGGATGCACATGAGAGAGAAAGAGAGAATGAAAGATCAAAAAAAGATCCAAAGTGAAGAGAGAAAAAAATGAAACGGATTTGAGTGTCTGCTTCTGAAAGAGTCAGCCATCTTGAAAAGAGTGGATTGGTATTTACAAAAGGAAAGCCACACTTCAATATGAAGAAACCAAAAATAAATAGAAAGAAAATAAGTATGCACATACATGGCATGATATACGGCCACAGGAATGGAAAGTGGGTAGCAATTCAAAATTAGTTTTGTATTTTTAAATAGATCAAAGTGCAAAGAAAACAAATTATTAACTTATCTACAAAATTAGTTTGCTCAATTGTAAGGCAAAAGCATTGAGAGGGGAAGAAAGTGCTTTCAGCATTTGTATCTTTGGTTATTCAGAATTAAAGAATGCATTCTCTTAGAATGTGACAAAAATCAGAATGTCTACTGAAGTTAATAATCTGATAAAACAAAATACTAGAAACCATTCAGTGTTCATATCTATCTTCAGATCTACGAAGACATTGAATCATTTTATTTGTTCAAGATGATTTCATATTGGTATTACAAGCCCCCCAATGGAAACCAAACATTTTAGAAGAAAGTAATTATTATCAACAAACTTAAAACTTACAAAACACGCTTCTAAAATGTCAAATATTTATTACTTATAGTGAAAATCTTTATGATTCTTTGTTCAACTTCAACAAGAAATTTTGGTTGGTCATTTTTGCTTAGCGGCAGATCAACACCTCTATGGGTCATTTAACGCTGAAATCTAAATATATTATGTATGCAATTTTAATTTACTTTTTTTGTTTTTTTTTTTGTTTTGTTTTGAGATAATAATGGTTTTAGTGATACAAATCTTACTAATTACTCCATAGCTGGAGGGAGAAGAGGTGGATTCATACCCTTCCCAAGGGTATTTCTGTGTAGGTGAATATAACAAACTCAACTGGAATTGGAACTCGGCTCTTTGATTTCCAGGCCATCATCCATTACAATACTGGCACATCCAAGCTTACAGTACTCAAGCAGCCACCTATCTAGGTACTGACCAGGATCAATGTTGCTTAACTTTTGAGATTGTACGGGAACAGGTGTTTCAACATGATGTGGGTGTAAGCCTTCAAAAAGAAATCTTTGATTACATGTGTGCGTATATACATACATGTTTGATTAACAGCCAGAGACATTTTTAGCTTTCTTGCTTCTGTATAAACAAGTGAATACAGGTCAATTACTGTGTTTAACAATGTTTGATCAAGCACTTTTGTTCGTATTTTTAGTTGATAGGGACAAAATAGAGAAATATCTGTTATTTTGTATTTTAATTTTTACATATGTGGGCATTGTGCATTAAACTAAACATAAATATTCCTTGTCTGTGGCATTTTACAAAAAACATCTATTTAAGGATGACTATCCAAACACACACACACACACACACACAAAATGATTTGCCTAAAACTTTTTGGATCTACAAATGCATCTTTGTTTCAAAGACTAAATATTTTTCTCTTCATATAAACACACACTGTACTAAAACACTCTGTACTGAAATTTAAAGACATGCACATAAAATTTCTTTCTACTTATTGAAGAAAAATGCTGGTTGTTTTAGTAAAAACATTTTCTCAGAGCATGTCTGCAAAAATGTGACAATCTCGAGTCAACAAAATGAAAAAAATTCCATGTTTTATATTAACTAAAGCATTGTTCATTAAAAAGATTTTTGTAATCAAAATGATTTCAGAGTGAGACAAAGAAAGAAATTTGGCAGACTGTTTGGATTTACAGCCATTTATAACCAATTTACATAAGTGAATCCAAGCTGAACACAAAGGTCAAATTAATAATTGAACTCCAGAGAGAAGTGACTTGTGTTTTGATATTTGTCACAGTTCAATCTTTAACTATTTCTGCTTGCCACATTATCCTAAAAAGTTTAAATCAAACAAATTCTCATGTTTGAGCAGATTTTGTGAAGTGGCTCTAGTTAAGAACTTTTCAGTACCCTCTCATAATGCAGACTAACCCAAAATTCTTCTGCCATCTTCTGTGATTATATATATATATATATATATATATATATATATATATATATATATATATATATATATATATACACTCAACACAAAAGAAAACAATCCGCATTTATTGTGATGAAATTTCATTGCTAATAAACAGACAAACTTGCAAATCACATGAGCCAATTTGTTGCAAGATTCATTTTTGTTTGCATATAAAATTAGGTTTTGGGGGATAGAGGGTGGCAGAAATGAAAAATATTACCAGGAGCAATTGTAATTTGTGAGATTAAAATTTAAAAAAAATATCAGCCAAAATTATTATTAATCCAAGCAGAATTTGACAAAATTTCACAAGAACTTGTTTATCAAATGAAATAAAATATTTTTTTATGGATACTCATAAGTGGTTCTGAACACATGCAGTTTTATTTTTACTTAAAAGTAGAGTTAATATTGTTTAATTTAAAAATGATATCTCGATGACCAGTGTTGAAGAATCACATCATAGTAGGTCATAAAGCACTGGGTGTGGCCACATGAAATGCAAGGGTGTCTCCCCAGTTACCAATGAACCCAGAAGCTGTGGGTCATCGTCATGTGAAGTATTAGTAATATTAGTAAGTGTTAAGTTACACAAGAAAGAAAGAAGCTGAGATGAGAGAAAAATTAAAGAAATTAAAAATATGAAAGAAATAAAAAGGAAAGAGAAAAAAAAAAATCCAAAAGAAAAAAATCTGTATTTCATTAATTGATGAAAGAAAAATTTCTGAAAAAATCCCCAAGTGAACCTGTTATGAAGAAGGAAAAAAAAAGATAAAAGAATCTTAATATTTGTTTTGGGTGTGAACGAGTTACAAAGATGGTTTATATTTGACAATGGCAAAGGAGCTTTACAACAAAATGCACTTTTCCAATGGGGGGAAATTTTCATATCAGGATTTTGTTTTGTTTAAAAAAACAAAAAAAAAAAAAAAAACAATGAATTGTTGTTGCTCTAGCGTAAAGAAAAAAAAAAAACAAAAAAAAAAAATGCCTGAAAAGCACATTAAACTAAATGAAAGGAAAGTGAAATTTGAAGTTGAAGCCTTTATAAATGTTAACAAACAAAAAATGATTTCAGATTATAAATTTAATTTTTCACTACAAAAGCAAATTCCCTCAAATGATGAAGGACAAATCTCTCGTATTAAAGCACACAAAGCAAATCTAATGAGGAGGTTGTGTATTTTGAATGAGACAAGTTATGTGTTTAGATTAAAGTTCAATCTGAAACAATTGATTCCAGCTTTCAAAACAACTCAAATTGAAGGATGATTAAAACACTTTTGTATTCCTTCTTTTTGGTCCTGACCAATTATTCAAATTCTTACATTTCCAATAACAAAAAGTTCTCGTCGTTTAAATACTAACCACACTAACTCTAATTTTGAACTTTTTAAAAGTTTCAGAAAAAATAAGTAGCAAACAATATTTTTAATAAATGTAACATGGTCAAAGTTTTAAATAAAAACTGAATTCCTTTATACAGATATAGAAAGATACTTTTCAGTTAATTACAGTACACAGCTACTGACATTAAAACATGTTACTGGTCAGGTTAACTGGTTGGATTGAAAGTTTGTAATGTTTTTTAGTGTGTGGTGCTTGAACATGTGATTTCGTTTCACATGTAACTGACATGAGCGGAAAGGTGGCCTTTCAATATGATGGATGTGCAGATTGTGAATTTGAAATGTTTTACGTTAAAAATGAAAATAGAGGAAAATCAAATGCATTTTCATCATTTATCTTTTACTTCCAGAATGCTAAAAAAGAAGATATGTGCCATTTATGGAGCTTCGTTTGATGGACATATTGTTTGCAATTTGCTAAATTCAGAAGTGGAAGACAGAAAGTTACTGCAGGCCTGCAGTCATTGATGATCAAATTGAAATGCTGATGAAAAATAATCCAAGTCACATGACATGGGACATCGCAGAGATACTCCACAGATGAGCCTTGGAAGACATGTGAAAAACTAACACATGTGAATTGCTATTTGCTTTAATGAACCAAATTTCTATTCTCTACTCAAACACAACAAAAACAATCCATTTTTAAAAGAATCACAAGTGATGAAAAATGGATTGTTTACAACAATGTGGAGCAAAATACTTCCTGAAAAAGATAAAGGAGCCATTGTCAACCACTCCAAAAACTCTTCTCCATCTAAAAAGATGATGTTGCATATGTGGTGGGAATGGAAGGTCCTTGTGCATTTTGGGCCACTTCTACAGACAGACACTGAATTTAGATCCAAGTTGGACCAGTTAAAAGGCAGCAAATAATTAAAAGCATTCACAATTGGCCAATCAGAAGAACATCATTTTCCATAAGACCAATGTCAGACATTACACCTTTTTGCAGACTCAGCAAAAATTGATAAAGATGGGATATCCTATTTCAAACATTGTACTCATCTGACCTTTCACCTTTGGATTATCCTACAAAATTCACTTAAGTGGAGAAAATATCAATTCTCTGGAAGTCTAAAACCAACATAAACCAATTAAATCCTCAGCAAGACGGTCAGGTTCTGTGAGGATGGGATCATGAAGCTGCATCAAAAGATGGCAAAAAATAGTGGAACAAAAATGGTATATGTCGTTGAATAAATTTATTTACAATAAATAAATAATAAGTAAATATGTCATTGAATAAATTTATGTACAAGGATCTAAATACTATTTTTAAAATTGTTGTGTTGTCATCCCTCTAAAAAGTATATGTTGAACTCTTCTGCTTACTATAAGATTAGTAGGAGAGAAGGCCTTGGGGGAACAGTCAAATAGAATGCTGGGTCAACTGACACACACTCACTAGTCATGTAATACTCTTCTGTTGTACTTACTGTTTAATATATGATATATCTGCAACACTTGTTTTGTTATTTCTTTAACCATTTACTTGGTCACAACAGAAATTCACTTAAAAAAAAAGACAGACTGTTTTTCCAAATATTTTAACTTAGAAAAAAAGACCAGAAGAAAAAAACTTCAAGACCTGAAAATATTTTAGTTATATATTTTTCTTTTTTTAACCAGGCATTTATAAAACAGAGCTATATGTAGACTTGTAGACTCAATTAATAACAAATATTTCAAAACCCTTTAATCCAAACACAAACAAATCCAATCCACAAATTTTTTTTTCTTTTTGTTTCATGTAACATTTATTTATCTAAACACATAAAAATTTCCTTAAAGATTTTTCAAATCTGCCACTCCAGGGAGTTCCTCTTAATTTAGGGATTGTTGTTTTTATTTTATATAGTCTCTTATTACTTAAATCGTTTTGCCTTAGGGAGCCAAAGGCCCAAAATAACCAAATGCTTACCTTTCAGCTCTGTTTCAAAAGTAAAGAACTGCCTTCCTGCTGATTCAAACATTTTTTTTTATGAGGGCAGGGAAGAATACTGCATGCTTAAGATAGCAAGTTCCAAATTTATGGCATTGAAACCTGAATTTACAATGTCTGATACTGAACACAGTTATTTTTATTAAAGAAAGGCAAAAAATGAAAGGCAGGCAAAGAAAGAAAGAAAGAAAGAAAGAAAGGAAAGAAGAGCAAAGAAGGTAAGTCAAAGAAAGGCAAAGAGGATAAGGCAAAGAAAGGCAAAGAGGATAAGGCAAAGAAAAGCAAAGAAAGAAAGAAAACATGTTAAAATCTTGAATCATTTCTCATCAGAAGGCAAGTATTAAAAATGAATAAAAAGAAAATATTACATCTCCCCCACCCCACCAACCAGTCCTGGGATTATAAAGACAAAAGTCAATTGACATTTCTATGTTTAACTTTAAGCAATTTCTTTTTTAAGTTCCATAATATTTTATTACAAAAATTCAAATTTGTTAGATTTTTATGAACAGTTTTTGAAGTGTTTATTTATTTGCACATTTTGATGTTAAGAAATTTGCTATTTTCAGTAGTGAGAAAATTAAGAAAAAAAATTGATAAACTGAATAAATATTGGAAATGTTTTCCTTTGCAATTCACAAATGTCTGAAGAAAAAAAAAAAAGATTACTTTCACTTTTATTCTTTCTTTGACAAGATATTTTCACAAGAAGAAGCTTTATCAACAGTCTAAATGTAGGCAGTTGTGGAAGGGGGACAGAGTTTATAAGTATTCATGGGTCACAACTAACCAAGAGGTAGGGTTCTAATTTAACAAAAAAAAAAAAAAAAAAAAAAAACTACAAAAGAAAAACAAAATCAATTTGCAAAAAGAAATATATGATCCAGTTGGAATATTGCCAAAATCTATTTGCTTACTTTCAATAAACATAAATCTTGGTCTGCTGATATCATGAAAATCAGCAATTTAGGGATGTTAAAATAAAAATGGAGACATTTTCAAACAGTAATACTGACATTCATATAACAAGAATGAAAATAGTTACTGCATAGAAATAATCTTTTTAGGTCATAAATAATAGGAAAACTAATTTGTATCTGATATGCTTTATAAATGAGAAGCATTTTTTTTCCTTTTGGCCATTTTCAGGTCCTTATAAAAATAAAAGTACATATGACACACAAACTGTTTATATTCTTGTAAATTATTTAATTGTTTCAAATCTGTACATGCAATATCCTTGGATCTATGAATATCACAAGTTCATTGAAGGCTTTATTTCATAAATAAATTAGTTCTTTATTTCGTAAAATGCAGTGAAATTTCAGGACACTGATTTTAAAACTATTAAAAATACAAATCTAATTTTGGAGATTTATCAAAAAATTTGACAAGAAAAAATACCAAAAGGCTAACCCCTACCTAGGCAGTAAATTAAAGCAATCAAAGCTGTGACTATCGAAACAAAGCAAAAAAATGCTTTACAATGTCAACACTCAACAAAGAACAGCTAGAGTCATTACTCAAGTTTCATGCAATTCAGGCTATTTTTTTAAGTTATTTCACCATAAAAATTATCCATTATTAAAATGCCAGATTAAGTATTTTAAAGAATTTTTTCTTAATTTGAAAATGAAATAGTAATGATTTGATTCTCTAAAATTCTAAAAGATAATGAAGAAGACAATATGTGAGTGCCATGTACAGTTATAACTCATTCGTTTTGCAACCATGACAAAGATGGCTTAACTTGTAAAGAAGCTCTGAATGAAGATAGTTGATGCATACAAACAAGGTGATGGATATACAACACTTTCCAAGCATTTAAATGTTCCTAGATCAACAATTTGTAACAATATCAAAAAGTACAACGAGGTGCATTGTATCGAGAATAAATTAAGGACTGTCAGAAAACAGTTAATTTCTGAGGAAATGGTAAAAAAAATTGTTAAAGATGCCTCAAAGAATCCTGATTTAACAACAAAAGACATTGTCAATGATGTAAAAACATCAGGTTTGAATGTATCAACAAAGACAGTCACTAGATGTTTTTATTGAGCAGGATTTTGAGCTAGTCAGCCAAGGAAAACTCCCTTGCATATAAAATGCAGACTAGTTTAGGCTAGAAGCCATGTAGAACATGGGAGTAAATGTTAGAACTCTGTTTTATGGTCAGATGAAACCAAACAAGAATTATCTGGTCATATGAACTCCCGTTATGTATGGAGGAAAGAGAATAAAGCTTACAAAGCAAAAAATACCCCCTCTCTTGCAATTAAGCACCTTGGTGGGAGCATTTTGCTCTGGGGAGGTTTTGCTCCTTTTGGACCAGGAGAACTAGTGAGAGTACAAGGTCTCATAGATAAAGAACAGTATTTGGCTATTCTTAAAAATAATATAAACAATGTGCACAAAAGCTGTTTTGAGGTGTCACTGGACATTCCAACATAACAATGACCTCAAACACATGGTACAAATTGTTACAAAAGACTTAGATGAAATCTAGGTATTGTCATACCCCACATAAAGTCATGGCTTAAACCCTATTGAAAATTTATGGGCATACTTGAAGAAAAAAGTATGAGAAAGTAGTCCTTTGAATATGGAGGAACTAGAAGATACTGCCAAAGAAATGGAGGAAAATACCTATCAGTGTGTGTGGTGATCTTGTAAAGGACTATCAAAAATGATTAAAGGCAATAATCAAGAATAAAGGTTTTACACAATTGATTATTGAAGCAAGTGGGCCAATAATTTTGTCCTGTGTTAAATGTTTTTTTAGGTGGTTTTTGTATTATTGTTTGACATTAAAATAAAAATTGTTTTGTGAGCATCATTGGGCATTCTTCCAAATCCATTCTTTCATTATTTGTAAAAAAAAATGCACATGAATTTTCCATGAAAATTTGAGGTATTACAGCTTTATTTTTAATTATGGAAGTGGGGGGGGGTGAATAATTTTGTCTACAACTGTACCTAGTGAACACAATAGACACATCAGGCCAACTTCACACTGCAGAATACTACTGTACTGTACTGATGCGGCATTCACCCTGGGCGGATTGAGCCGGCTTCTTCCTGTTATGAGAAGAAGATTCTTGGGATAAATTACAGAAGTAGGGTACCCAGGCCTACTCAGATAACGTTCTTGCTTGCTGCGGGGTTCCCACAGACGCAGAGATAGGAACGACCAGAAGCCGCCAATTACCGATGCAGACGCTCCTTGGATTTTCACTAGAGCCCTTGTTAGCAGAATACCTTCAGGAAATTGCCATCTCTTCAATAAAGTCAGTAGAAGACTTTGGATGTTATGTTAGTAGTGTGTTAACAGATAATGCAACTAATGTTGCAAGATGACAAAACTATGAGAAGAAAGTGAATTGAATATTTTTACTTATGGATATTCAGCACACATTTTAAATCTGCTAACTCAAGATTTAGAAGTTCCTAATGCCAAAGTTTATATGGTTAAATACTTTAGAAATAATGATTATGCCTAAGAAAGATATTGCCGTCAAGAAGGTGGTAATTGTCATGTGCCAGATAACACACTGGAACACCATGTCAGACTGAAGAATTATAAACAACTGGTCAATTCTCTTTCAAATTTGTGAAGTTATCAGGGACAAAGTAGATTCACTCATGAGAAATAAGGTGGCCAACTTTTCACTTAAGTGATCTGCAGAGGAACAGCTTTTACAGTTGCAACCCATAGCTAAAGCTCACAATAAAATTTAGAGTGACATATGCACCATTGCAGAAACAGAAGATATTTAGAAAGAATTGTTCAAGAGTTTTGGAAAAGCTCCTGAATAAAAAAAAAAACCCTGATTGAAATGGTAGAAAAATGTACAAGTGATCAGCAAAGACACCTTCTTGTCAACATGGTTCATCCTTATTTTCAAGAAAAATCATTAAGCAAAGAGGGAGTTAATATTGCAATGGAATATGCCAGTGAGAAATCTCCTCCCTTCCAGGCATTTAAATTTGCAAACTCCATAAGCAAGATGGTCTCTGCTATTGAATGTTGGGATTCACATGCAAGTGTATTGAGCAACTTCTGTCAGCAGTGGCCTCATCTGGCAATGAACAAGTTTTCGCATCCTATAAGCTGGTGCATTCCAAACTGTCTTGGTACAGATAAAGCAGTGAAACTGGTCTTTCTATTTAAACTCAAACGCTGCTCATGTTGAATTTTTAAATTTGTTAAATGGTTAAAATTTTATTTTATAGTAAAAAAAAAAAAAAAAAAATTATTTGGTTGATTATGAAATATTTCATTCAATATGTTTGACACTTTCCTTCATAAAATGACATTAAAACCAAAAAATGTTTTATTTCTATTTCTTTTGATATAAAGATGTTTGTAAAATTGATTTAAAATCAGTGATTTTTTTTTTTTTTTTTAATCTGTTTGATTTAAATCAAACAAGCCTGGTTAGAACACTGGGCATACTCCTAATGTGAGGAATACAAAGCTACAGAAATGCTGCCATTATTTTTAAGCAGAAACATCTCTCTTCTCATCAACAATAAAACAAAAAATGAATCTATTCTTAGCCTAAGATAAAGACACTGCTAACTTTCTGGCATTACTAATGGGAAACATGTGAAAAGAATTAAAAATAAACTTACATATAAATTTCTCTATTCTTTATCTTCTAAGAAGAGAGAGAGAGAGAGTTCAAAAGTAAGAAGCCCTATAAAATCTGACTCCTTACAAATGGGAGTGCAACACCAGAGCTGAGAAGCTTTTATTTGAGAGTTGTTGGGGTAAGGGTCCTAGGGTTTGAATGATTCAGGTATGATATCTTTAAATATACAGGGGGGGAAAAAAGTTAACAGGAAAGATCCCAATTTTCATCATTCATCTAAGTAAAAATGAGCACACACACAACAAGAGTGTAAATTGAGATGACAGCTCCAAAAACAAAAAGGTTGCACAAGTTTCACTGAATCAAACCCAGACTCTGTCTATTAAAGGGAATTTTAGATTTTGTAGATATCTTTTCATTTGTAGAAAAATTTTCATAAATAAAAATAAATAAGAAAATTATCATTTAATGTATTTTGTCTTAATTTAATAAAATTTTAAAAAGAAAAATGTTTTATGACAAACTTTAATCATCATGTCTCTTCTGTCTCCTTGAATCCAGTTCTTTCATCGTCCTTTCTCCTCAATAATGTTTTGTTTTGTTTTGTTTTTTCTCTCAGTAAATTCTTTGCATTTTAGTGGCTTTATTACCTTGCTTGGGGTACAATGATTAAAAAAGAAAAAATAATACACTAAACAAGAGTTCAA